TTCCCTGCACAGGGGCAGATTGAAGTGGAAAGTGAGACCGTCTTCAAGTTGGCAGCCCTGATTTTGCAGGTAAGTGCCTCTTCCTCCTGCGGTTTGGTCGGGTTTCTGGTAGCGGTAACTCGGACTTGGTTAAGCTCAGCTGCGTTCTGCCTTTTGGGGTTTTTCTTTTTCCCCTCTGTATCAAGACAAAACCTTGCAGCGTTGTTTATAGTCTCTGCAGCTGGGGGGTGGGGGGAGCTAAACAAGTTGGGAGCTGTTTTTCCTTATAGATAACCGAGAGAAACATTTATTTCAGGAATTTTTAAATTGAAAGAGGAAAAACTCATCAAGGGAAGACATTTATTTGGACAAGTTTCCATGCAATTTATCACTTACTCTAATTTAAATATGTTCGGGAGATCTGGGAAGAAAAAAGTGTAATACTGGAGCTAAATTTGCTGTATTATGTCTGTGAATCTTTATTTTGGAGCATATGTTTTTGATACTCTGTTATGTTGAAATATGTCAGTTTTTCCTCTCCTTAATCAAGTTTTGTTGTACTCAAACTCTGGCTATTTACCGCTTTGTATGAAAGAAAATGCAACCTTTAAAATGTTGGGGTTTTTTTCCCCATTGCATTCTCAGTGACAAAGTGCCACAGCCAAGCTGCAGTGGCTTGATCTGCCTGAACTGTTGTTTTCATCTCGAGTGAGCGCAGTTCCTCTAAAGTGCTGACCTACCTGTAAAGCTGACCTTTAGCTGGATGTGGTCGGCCGGAGAGAGAGTTGTATTTCACTTCTCCTGCAGTAAAAGTGACATTTGATTTGCAGTGTGAAATCCATCCCCATTTTGGGAGCGATTTGATTTATGGTATAGGTGGATTATCTACAGCTGGAAGTGTAAAGGGCCAAGTTGTGTTCTTGAATACATGCAGGCAGCCTCCAGGCTTTGCACTGAGTGTTACTGGGGTCAGGATCTGGCCGCAGAGCTGTGGGAGTGGGGAAGTGAACAATGCTGGGAAAATCGAGGACTTTTGAAGAGATCATGTTTTAATTCTGTCACTGTTTTTCAATTGTAGGAAGCTAAAGGGGACTATTCCAGGTAATAACATTTTCCTTTCTAATACTGGTGTGCTTGATGGATGTGTTTTTCTGTGTTGGCATTGTATTGCAAACAATCAAAAACGGGGGTGAAGTCCAGCCGCAAGCAGTGGCTGAAGACAGTGAAATGCGCTGCTGGGCTGGATAAAATCTGAGTCTGCAGGGTGAGTAATGCCTTTTGTGAGCAGGCCCTGAGTCAAATGAGCTTTTCAGGCCGTCCTGCTCTGCTCCCCTCCCCGAACGGGGGTGCTGAAGTGGGACGGGGAGAAAGCTCCCGTCCTTTCCCACCAGAAACCCCACGCTTGGCACTGTGGCTTGGGTCCCTCTGGGCGACCTTGCCTGCAACCCCGCTCGTGCAGCGGCAGCACGTGCAGCGAGACGCGGAGCCCGTCAGCTGCCTGCGCCGCAGATCAATGGGCCGCTTTCTTCTGCAGCTGCCCCGTGGGGCCTCTCCCTTCCCACACTTGACCTGACATTTGCTTTGTAGCTGGTGAGCGACCCAGTTCGTGGCTTTAGCTGTCTAAAGCTGCATCATCAGGCTGGGCTTGCCCTTGGAGATCGCTTTTTACCGTGTGCTCGTTATGAAAACTGGCTGCGGGGAGGAGGTGGGGTCACACTCGGACCTGCTAGAGCCCAGGAAAAGACCTTCAGTTAGGAACAGCTCACTAAGCAAATAGAAATTCAGAAGGTTGGCTTTGGTCACGTTAATATTTTACTACTTGCTGAGTTTCCCTATAGGAAGAGAGGTGTGTTTACACTTTAGCTACAACAGCTTTCAAGAGCTATGCTTTGAAAATGCTCAGCGAAGAGTTACCTGCTCAAACGCAGGGAGCAAGTCGTGTCTGGCTGCCAAAGCCTGCAGCAGGGACATACTCTGCTTTTCCTTCAGTGTGCAGTTGTCAAGTAAGTGCCGGTGCTGCTGCCCAAGACCCCTTCTTCTCCAAATGCAAGTCCCTTCTCCACTGAAGGACCCTCTCTGTGAAGTCCATCACAGCCTCCTTCTTTTTGTGGCATGCTTTTATGCCTGCAGGGAGGAAAAGATGCCCTTGTGACTTAAGGTCAACTGTACAGACAATTTCTGTTCCTGTTCATGCTGTAGACCTGCTTTGTGACCCACGGTGTATTGCTTATTGCTGCAGTGTGCTGCGTTTTTCTCTAGAAAGACTGCTCATCTTGCTTGATCTCACAGGGATACCCTAGGATACCCTAAGCTTAAACTGAGTTTAGGCACAGATAACCAGAGAACTGCCATTCCCTTGACGAGAAGTAACTTGTTGAGCTGTAGCAACTGGTGGCACATGCTCCCAATTCTTAAGAAAAGAGGGTTAAGGTTAAAAATTACTTTTGTGGTGAAAACCTTGCTTATGTGGTTTAACCTTACCACTGGCTCCTTATCATTTGCCGTAAATAGGTTTGTAAGTATTGCTTCACGCGCCCAAGAACTGCATCCGTGGGTATTTTCCATGCACATGGACACATTGCAGGGAGAGGATTGCCCGTGATTACCTTCAAAAGTATTTAAAGAAAAATTGGAGGGAAGAATACTCTGCTGCAGGAGTGATTTCCAAATGCAGCTCTTCCTGTAACAGTTGCATGAGAATAGCTGCAGCAATTGCTTCCTCTGTTAAACAAAACATATGTTGTGCCTCCACAGCAAATGAGCAGGGCCAGCTGTCCCAGCCCCAGTGAGCACACCAGAAGTGAAGGAATTTCATTTTACATATCACAAGTGGTCGTTCGGACCACCACTGATAAAGCACTGGCTTAATTACCGGCGTATCTAACAAAGATACCGCGGGACGGGTCTCCCCTGCCAAACTTGCCCGTGGTACAAAGAACACGTCCTTGCAGCGGTGCCGCTCGTGCAGTGCGGCTGCCTCCGTTTGCAGCGTCCTGGGTTCGGTGTGTTCGCTGTTTGCTGTCATTTGGCAACTCCGCTTTGAATCACTTTCTGGAATGTGGCTCTTGCACCATTTGTGTGTACGTGAGAACCCACGGGTTAACTTTTTTTCTATATAGGATTAGTGCTGAACGAACACGGGTAAATACAGGAATCGCCTGAAGTCCTGGAGATTAGCTTTCTGGAAGTGAAAAATGGGCCAGTCCAGACAATGCTGGTGATCTCTGCCTGGCTGATTTTTCACACATCCTATAGGGAGCTTTTCCATGTGGACACATCCTGCAGTGGGGTCACTGTGCGGCATTCCCACTGACTTCAGCTGGGAACAGGCAGATCAGTACCAGGGTCCGAACGCTTCCAACTCCTGCAGTAACCCTTTTCCCAGTCCGTTGCTCAAATTCTCAGATAACGTCTTGATGGCAGAGCGTAGCAATCTCCGGAGAAACACCCTCCCTAACCCCGTGCTGAGTGGGTGAGCACATTCTTTTGAAATCTGTTTATTTTCAGTGAGCAAACCTGACGTGCGGGCACTTGGAGAAAGTAAAAACTCTTTGATTTCTCCACCGCAGAAGCCACTCTAAAGGGACTTTGCAATCTGGTAGTACTTACAGCGTGAGAGTATCAGCGTGTTTGGGGTCTGGCCCTTGCAGGTGGCTTGCAATAGGGCCCTGGGGTCCTGGGCTGAGTGATTAGGACAAGGGTATGCGCCTTATCGTTCAGAGTGAGGCTTTATGCAAGATAAACCACCCAAGTCCCACTTTGAGAGGACCCTGGGTTTAAGACATCTTGAGAAAACCTAAGTATATGCTCCAGAATTGTACCCGCGGCATGTTCATTGCATGTGTGCCTGTTTCAGACAGCTCTGGTTTCTCACGGGCAGGCTAAAATGACTGCAGGCCGCAGGAGGAATGATTAACGAAGATGACAGCGGACCACAATCGGTGTAGCTCACCGCATACCCAGTTCCTGTTCCTGTTTACTGAACTGGTGACCCCAGCCAAGATAATGGCCCCCTGTGTGTGATGAAGAGCGTGCCGCATGCTCAGTGAGCTGTTCTCTTCCCCCTTACGTTGGGACAGTGTCGGGGCTGCCACGGGCAAAGCGGTTCCTCCAGAGAGCCCTGCAGCTCTGATGTTCCCAGCAAGTCGGAGGTGCTGCAGATCCCTGGCTCTCTGCCTTCCTGTGCCACGACTGGGCAGCTTTTGTCCAAGAGCAGGCTTGTAACGCTCGGCTTGCGTTCACTTTTCACGACTCATCTATGGCTTCCAGTTGACTGCTTTGCTGTTTAAACTGGATTCCTATTGGTTTTTCTCCAGCTGCTGTAGTAAGAACCCAAAGAAAAGCATTAGTCATCAATAGCAGTTTCGAAACTCCGCGTTAGTTAATTGCACTCCTCCACTGTCATGTTTGCAGATGCAACAGAAAAAGCTGTAAGCTTGGTTTTACAAAATCTTTAACTTTTTAAACTCTATGCAAGGGTTTTAAAAAGAGAATTTGATTCAGGTTGCAGCCACTGGCATGATTCAATTGCGGGGCGGGGGGGGGAGTCCATGTTCTACTAATTTTAGGGATTTTATTTAAATTTCAAAGAAAGCTATTGTCTTGGCAGGCAAGCGAAATAGTAGATCAGTCTGGTAATTATTCATCATGTAAATATGCAACATACAAAGTCTTGCCTCTTAGGGAAATAAAGATTTAGCTGTATTTAGTGTATAGGCTAAGCATCTGCCCTCAAAAATGCAGTACAGTAGTATGTAGTATTATTTTTCTTTGTGGTTTGATGAAAGAGGCAGTTTATAACTGCCTAAATGCTGTCCTTCTAGCATTAGAAAAATGTTTATTAAAATCAGATTAGCTACAGGGACTATATAAGGAAAGTAACTTTTAAAAAAGTTTATTTTCTGATTGATAATCTTGGATCGTATTTTCCCCAGTAATGTTTCCTGGACTGAAACCCGGCCGTGCTCCCTGAAATTTAATTAAATTGCTGGAGGAGGGCTTCCATTTTCTTTAAATAGCTGACACATTCGATTTTGATTCTGGCCTGTGGGCTGCAAAGATAACTCCAGACTGGTATAACATAACACAGA